AGGGATAACTAATCCAAGGTTTAACAATCCTTGGATAAGACCCCTAAATGACTAAACTATCTCCAAATCTTTTTTCCTAATTATTTTTTTGTAATTTAATGCTCTTTTTTATTTATATGAGAATATTTATAAATATTCTTTTAAATTCTCCAATTCGTTCCATGTAATTTGATGATTTCACAAATTAATATTTTTTTTCTCCATGTTTGATTTGTTATATTGAGTTTATTTTTTCGGTTTTTAAAAAAAATATAGTTTATCGATTGACTATTTGAACTATTTTTTTTAAAAAAAAGCTTTGTGTATTTGAACAATTTAAGTAGCCTTAAATATATGTTAAGTTTAAGGTTAATATACTGTGTTATCAAGGATCTCTATGGTGGCATATCACACCTCAAAATTTAATAATAATTTTTTAAAATATATTTTAGTATTTAATTTGACATATTAAATGAAATATAAAACCTCATAATAATTCAAGGGTATAATAGGAAAGAAACTTTTTCTAGAATTTTAAACCAAACATAAGATTAAATGGGAAACATGAACCAAACACTTGATAAAAACTAATCCCTGCATTACTAAACCCTACATTACTAATCCCTACATTACTAATCCATGCATTAGTAATCCCTGCATTATGCATCTTTGTACCAAACGACCCCTGAGTATATTGGGACTTTGAATTAAGTGTGACAAGAAGGTGTCAAAATAAAATGGCGGTGACATAAGTCTTAATTATTGAGAGGTGACACTTATGTAATTATGGATTAAGGATTAAGGATTATGGGAGTTGCCCTCAACTTTTAAAATTGACAGTTTGGTCCATTGTATTAAATGAGGAGTAAAAGGGTAAATGACTAAAACTTAATTTAACCAATTTTGGTGGGAACTAAAACTGGAGGGAAGTCAGCGAACTGAACCAAAACGGTAAATAAAAACTTTTTTCTCCCGCCTCCCACCGGATTCCTCCTCCTCCTCTTCTTCTTCCTCCTCTTCCTCTTCCTCTTCCTCTTCTTCTCTTCCTCCTCTTCCTCCTCCTCCTCCTCCTCCTCTTCTTCGTCTTCTTCTTCTTCTTGAATCAAATTTAGCTAATCGGTTGACCAGATTTCCTTCTGTATCAATTGTAATTACTTCATAAGTGATTGTGTTCACACACCATTGTTTGGTAAGTTTGATTAATAGTTTTTTTTTTGAATCATTCATCATTTGGGTATAAACTTGCAATTTTTTCAATAATTTGCATTCGCGTTTCCAACAGAAGGTTATATATGTTGCAACAGTTGACTATTGGAACAAATGATAGTCTTATATTGCAACAGAAAGGTTATTTCAATCGCAACAAAAGAGTCATATGTTGCAACATATGATTTATGTGTTGCAACATAATAGTTATATATAGCAACATATGACTTACATGTCGCAACAAAATAGCTATGTGGAAACATGTGATTTATTTGTCACAATAAAATAGTTATATGTAGCAATATATGACTTACATGTCGCAACAGAATAGTCATATGTTGCAACATATAACTTATATATTTTGTTACAACATGTGATTTATGTATCGCAACAGAATAGTTATATGTAGCAACATATGACTATATGTCGCAACAGAATGGTCATATGTTGGAACATATCACTTTTATGTTCCAACAGAATAGTCATATGTGGCAACATATCACTTTTATGTTCCAACAGAATAGTCATATGTGGCAACATATAACATACATATGTATTAGTACTAATTGTTTTTTGAATTAACTTCTTCATTAGTACTAATTGTTTTTTGAATTAATTTCTTCAGGTATAATAAATGGAGGGATTATTTGTAGGGATTTATTGTTGTCGTGAATGGATCGAGAAGAAAAATTGATATATTTGGAATTGGAAGGATAGTAAGAAAGGGTCGGTAGGGATGACTGACGAAAGAAGTATTTTGTATGATGATTTTGTGAAGCCTTATACAGAAAAGGCGTGGTAATTTTTAATATTTTTCGTATGTATTCACGTTTTTATCAATGTGTTTTGCCTTTTAAATGTGTTATTTCTTCTGTAGTTTGATTTTTTCAACCATAACGATCCAAATGCATTGAGAATGATTAATCAAGCAGCAGACGGAGGCCACATTGGTGCATCATATGTACTTGCCATAATTTCAATCTTCAAGAGCGATGAATCCATGAGAGAAGGCCTAATGTTCATTGTCAACATGAAAAAAATGGAGCATATGTGTGTTCTATTAGATAATATGTTGAATTTTGCAACAGAAATTGCAATAGATACGTCATATGTGGGAACATATGTATATCCTAATATGTGGCTTTTGGTATTAATTCAATTAAATTGTGACCTAATACAACATTTAACACTAATATATAGTCCTACAACATGTCTAAGTACAAAATTATGATCTAATATAACAACCTTTATCAATTATTTCAATTATTTTTACAAATACTATCATACCACTAGTTCATCATACAATGACTAAGTAATTCCATATGATAGTTATATAACACCCTTGTAAATAGTTGTTCGAAGTGTTATAACATCTTTTTATTGCATAATTATGCTCCAAAGTACTAAAATTTTGTCCAATTTGACATTTTTCATTGCTAAATTACTTAATTTATCGATTAATCCATCTATCAAATGTCATATGTGGCAACATATGTACGTTCTATTGGATAATATGTTGAATTTTGCAACAGAAATTACAACAGATACGTCATATATGACAACATATGTATATCCTAAAATGTGGTTTTTGGTATTAATTCAATTAAATTGTGACCTAATACAACATTTAACACTAATATATAGTCCTACAACATGTCTAAGTACAAAATTTATGGTCTAATACAACAACCTTCATCAATTCTATCAATTTATTTTTTACAAATACTATCATACCACTAGTTCATCATACAATGACCAAGTAATTTCATATGATAGTTATATAATACCCTTGTAAATCGTTGTTCGAAGTGATATAGCATCTTTTTATTGCGTAATTATGATCCAAAGTACTAAAATATGATTCAATTTGACATTTTTCATTGCTAAATTGCTTAATTTATCGATTAACTCATCCATCAAATGCCATATATGGCAACATATGTACATTCTTTTGGATAAAACACGTAAGTACTTTATAAAAGTCATAGGCCCAACCTCTAATACTGGCCCAATTGGCCTATTATTTCATTTCTTGAAGGGATATATATAAATTAGGATTTTCATTTTCTTCCTCGCCGCTTCGATTTCTCTCTCTTCGCATGGATCTCGGATCTCTGGAGTGCATGGGATAGGCAAAATGGTCTGGTGGACCCTTATACTTGTATCCGTTTGTATTCTGAACCCTTCTACTTACCCCTTTGTCATTTGGACCCTTAAACTCAATAAAACACAATTTAACAAATCCCTTTGACCATTGACCAAGTTTATGTGTCTTTAAGATGACTGAGTTGGCGAAAGTGTGTGACTTCACGCACCTTAAGGCGAGTGAATAATTTTTTAGGTTAATTTTTTATTTTTTTTTAACTCAAATGGCCATATGGCCTATTATATTAAAAATCAAAATAAATATAGCAGGTCTAAAAATGACCCAGCTGGAAAGAAAACAAAGAGTCAACACGAAAAACATAAAACAAAACAATAGAAATAATCTAAAAAAAAAGAAAGAAAAAGAAAGTGAAATTAACATTTGAGCACATAAACACAGAAGTTTCTTCAACATCTTGCCATGGCCGACCATTAAAGAAATATTTTTAAAAAAAAATAATTAATTAAAAAATCATTTCTTCTTCCCCAAAGTTTAATTGCTTTCAAACTCTAGCAACTTCACTGAACTTTGTAAGTAGATCTTCGAAACAACGAAAGGGAATGCTTAACATGCCGATCTCAAATTTCAATACCTACATTAACACTAGCTCAACTTTCAGAAAATTCTTCGTTGTAAAATGCTGCTCTTTAATGGTGTTGTCAGCCAGAGACTTGAAGGATTTGACACTTAGAGAAGGAGAATCGTGTATTTTGCTTGAGATCCATATTGCAACAAGTGCAAATAGCTGCAAATTGCTTTTTCTCAGAGGCCGTAAGAGCCAGCTCTTAGCATCCTTAGTTCCTTCTCCGGTAAGAGATGGGCAGAATCGATCGGCGAAAAGAGACAACGTTGAGTATTTGACGATAGGAGAAACTTGAAGATCCTGAGCTAATTGAATGAGGGATTCTATAAGTCGAGCTCGCAAACAAGAGCAAACCTCCTTCTTCATTCTTGATCCCTCTCTCTACATAGAACCTGTTGGCCGAAATGCTTAAGAGAACCAAATGTTGAAGAAATTCACTGCAACCAAATTTATTTGTCCAGGTGACGGTAGAACCCAATGCAAATAAAATCAGCAGAAGAACAATCGATCGGTTTGGAATCATAAAGGAAATGAGTATGATTATCAAATTTGTATAACAGACTTTTCTAACTGCTAGTGGAGAGGAGAACATGGTGGGTGAGGGTGCGGTCATGGCGATGAAGAGGTTTTTCAGCCAGATCTGGTGGTGCGGTGACTTAGGTTGTTGTTTTTGTGGAGGTTGGAGGAGGAAAGAAAAATGGCAATGGTGTGCGGCGGAGATGAAGATGGGTGATGGAGAAAGTATATGTGATTTCGCCGGCAAAAATGGCGAGGACGATGGAAATGGCTTTCTCTGGTTGATTTTGGCCGTGAAACAGTGAAAATTGGGAGAATTGGATGTATGGAATTTCACTTTTTAAAAATGCAAAAAATAAATTAAAATGTTATTATTTTACATTTTATTAAATAATTTTAAAAAATAGTTATGAAATAATTATGATGTGTCATTAATATATTTGACGTGGATATGACATGTCGATTATATAAAAGAGAGTGAGCTACACACATGGTTGAAAGGACTTAAAAGTCTCATTTTAATTGAATTTAAGAGTCCAGATGACAAAAGGGTAAGTAAAAGGATTCAGAATACAAACTGATACAAGTATAAGAGTCCACCAGACCATTTCGCCCATGGGATATAATGATGTTATTTATTTCATCAGTCTTTTCTGTTCTTTGTTTTTTAACGAGCAACTAATTGATTTGGGTTTGGTTAAACCAAATCAATAAATAAACATAGTTTTGTCCTTTAGTTCCAACATTTTTACTTGTTCTTAACATAACATAACACCCATGTGTTGCTACATATGAGTCAAATGTTGCAACTTTGAAGCATATGTTGCTACAGATGACTCATTTGTTGCTACAGATGCCTCAAATGTTGCAACATATCACCCTTATGAAGCAACATTTGACCATATGAGGCATATGTTGCTACAAATGACCCAAACACTACATATAAGTCAAATGTGGCAACATTTGAGACATATGTTGCTATAGGTGACCCATGTATTGCTACATATGAGTCAAATGTTGTAACATTGAGGCATATGTTGCTACAGATGACCCATGTGCTATATATGAGTCAAATGTGGCAACATTTGAAGCATTTGTTGCTACAGATGACCCATGTGTTGCTATATATGAGTCAAATGTTGCAACATTTGAGGCATATGTTACTTCGGATGACCCATCTGTTGCTACATATGAGTCAAATGTTGCAATATTTGAGGCAAATGTTGCTACATATGACTCATTTGTTGCTACAGATAACTCATTTGCTACTACAAATCACCCTTATGTAGCAGCATTTGACCATGTAGTGGATAGATAGAGTTAAAAGGGAATTGGTTGAAGCAACATAACATATGACATCACAGATAAAATAAAACATTGTCATTAATTACAAATACATTGTCAAGGCTCCAAGTTCTTATCTACTATCCCAACAATTCAATTTCATTGCAATCAACCAACTATATTGTCACACAACAAGGTGTTGGGAAGTTGAATTGGTGTGTTGGTAATCAAATGCTCGATAAATACAAGCTAATATGACCCGCATACGGCACTGGTGAAATTTTTTACCATGGTTTTCAATCGACCTTCAAATTCCCATGGTTCATTGAGGAATTTATCTAACAAATGCTTCATTATTCCACTTTGCCTCAACAAGATTGACAGCAAGTCGAACACAGGTTGTAGAATGTCAAAAATGCATCATGTTCCGTACACGTCAGGTTGCAGTCATAAATATTCATGCGACTCTCGTGCAAGAGGATCTCAAGAGTCACAAAATGAGTATTGTTCATGTTTATGACTGCTAGAATTCTTTTTGCACCAATCTAATCGATGCCTCCATGATATGGTATAATTCTCCTGACGTAGTTAATCATATTGTCATTCCATACAAACTCATTAAGTAACTGTGTAAAGCTTTTGCCACCAACTCTTGTTGCTTCCTCGCTGATATTGTCATACCTTTGTTCGAAGTTGGTATAGAAGTTGAGATCCATGATTCTATCCGTGGAATCATAGTGCTCAGGGTATCTCAACTGCCTCTCCCACATGAGGCTGAGAATTTCATCAATATACTGAAATAACAATTAATATTAAAGAGCAAAGAAGAGTAATGATTGAAAAGATAAAACAAACAAACATTATAAATTAAAGGTTAGTAGAGAAAAACTACCCAGTCTTCCCACCAAACAGTCGTACTACCTTTTTTAATCTTTTTTGAATTTCGACAGTATAATGTTGCAGCATATGATAATTCAAAAATTATCATATGTTGCCACATATCTCCTTTCTGTCGGGGCACATGCAGATAATTCTGTGATTTTTTTTACAACAAAGGTTATATATGTTGCCACATATGACCTTCCTGTTGGAGAACATGCAGATAATTATGTGATTTTTTTTACAACAAAGACTGTATATGTTTTAACAAAATAAAAATAATAATAATCATTAATATTATCAGCAAAAATAACACTTCACCGATTGTTTTTTTACAACTTATCAAGAAAAAAGGTCAATGGTATACATAACCATCAAAACTAAATCTAATCAATGGTAGTAACCATAACATTTTCATCTGGACACGAATAATAAAATATTCATATTGTTGCTCACATCCTTCGCATCGACAAGAAGAGCATTTGATGTTAGATAAGGAAGCAACACTAGCAAAAGATTGAGTTGTTGTCACAGATGAAGCTCCCGCTCCCTGTGACATTTTATCTACAAGGTAAATAAAAAAAGTTTGAGAGTTTACAACTAATTATAAAATAATAAGGGTAGCAATTTATACTTGTGTTGACAGAGATGAACATTTTGTTGCCACATTTGCACCTTTTGTTGACACAGATGATCATTATGTTGCTCTAACACATAGGTGACATGTTCCAACATATGATAACTATGTTGGAATATGTACCAACATATCACCAATATGTTGCAACATACTACCCAAGATGAACAAAATGTAGGACAACTGAACAAAACTGAATTTCTACAATCATATGAACAAAATGGTCACAAAAAGAAGAACAAAAGCAACAAAAATGATTCTTCACATATACATTTCCTAAAAATTAGGGCTTTTTTGGGTTTGTCGATTTTCTTTCAAAAACAAAAATAATTGGTACCATTACACCATTATTCAATTTTCACATCTATAGAACAATTTCTTGTTCATTAACCCAAGAAAAGAACTTAGTATCAAGAGTGTGTTGTTCGAAATTGTAAAATCTTTTAAGAAAATGACTTACCCGTTTTAAGTCGAACACGACCTTCACTTCAGAAAGAGAGAGGGAGTGATGGTAAGAGATGAGGAGGAAGATAATGGGGGAGAATGATCGAATTTTCTAAGGAAGAAGAAGAAGAGAAGAACGTTGGAGGGAAGAAGAAAGAAAATTTTATTTTCTTTTAATATTTCTTTTTAAATAGAAAGTTTAAAATATAGTGGTTTTTTGAATTTTATAAAAGATTAGAAAGTTTTGAAAATGTTAATTTGGTCCTAAATTAACTTAATTACTTTTTTTAATGAATTTGACCATTTCTTGATCAAATGTCACCAAAAACCAAAACAAAACTTTATTGACACCTTTCATTTAATTTTCTTGAATATATTAGTAGTCTTTCTTTTAGTATAGCATCCCGTCTTCCGCGCCACAAACTGGCATGTCTTCTTCAGTTCTCTTTCACACACACAAAATAGAGACAGAACGGTTTGGATTTGACCCAATAAATTAAATGCTACCATTGAAAAATCTGGTAAACTTTTTTTTATTGTCCTGTGTCAAGAACTGGAATTTAATTTTTCTGCAATAATGTAAGTAGTGATTATCAGAATCTGCAAAATACAATTGAACTAGGTAAAAGACAATTTTTCCAGCTGTAGTCTTCATTTTATGTTTGCTCATTTTTATAAGTAGAGAGATTCTTGAAACATACTTCTCTCTTTCTGCAAATTGCTGTAAAAAAGAGACTACAAAAAGGTCTGAGTTTGTTACTTTTTTTTTAATTGATTTTTTTTGTTGGATTCTGATAATGAGAACTTTTTTATTGTCATTTTTTAGCAGAAGGGTCTTGATCTGTGTGTGGAGGGGTGAAATCTTGATTTTTTTTGTGGGTTTTATCTGTGAATGAAATCTTGTGTACAAAGATGGACCAAACAATTGAAAGGTCTTCAAATGCACATAGGGGTTTTCGAGTTCAGCCTCCACTGGTGAGTGTTCTATCTTCATTTTTATTTTTTTGTTGATTTCTGATTAATTCCTTTGTTTCAATACCCTTATGAAAATTTCTGGTAAAGGAGCAACTTTTGGTGCTTGGGTTGTTTTGAATTTATTCTTTTGGGGTTTGGATTAGCATAATATTCCTGCTGAATCGGCAGCATTTCTCCTTAGAATTCAGCTAACATCCTTCTTCAACGTCTTTTGGGAAGAGGGGTTGTTCAAATGATAAACACCCTCCACTTTGAACCCTAAGTTGTGGGCTCTAGTAACCAAGGGAACAAAAACGAGGGAGTTTCTAGGGAGGGGTAAAAAAGATTAAAAAAAGAAAAAAAAAAGGGTGTGTGTGGGTGGAGGGGGGGGGGGGGGGAAT